TGCGTATGAAGCTTTTTGAAATGTGTTAGCTTTGCTTGCATGATAATGAAAGTTTTAAATTAATTAATCCATTCATTTATTAATTAATTAATTATGGAAATTAAGGAAATTAATTAATTAATTCATTCATTCATTTATTCATTTTTTCATTTGTTCATTTGCTTATTTGTTTGTTCGTTTGCTGTTCGTCCTTTTGTCCATAGGTTCCTTTTGGTTTGTCCGTTAATTAATCAATTGTGTCCCTTTAGTTTTGCAAAAACACACACATGTTTAAAACGAAGATAAGAAGAAATGGAAATGAAGAAAAAATGCATTATTTTTTTGAATAAACTCTGACAAAGTGATGATGTTCCGATGTTTATTTTTTATATAGTATTTCAATTGTGTTTTCTTTTGCATTTTCTTTTATAAATAAGAAGTAACTTCTCAAACAAGATTCAAAAGAATCATCGAAATATCATAACTATTAGTCAGCAAAATAATAACTACGTAAAAGGGCAATACAGGTCAAGCCCTGGTAATTTAAGTGATATATTTTCCATCAAAAAAGTGTTTAATTTGTCTGGTTCTGTCGTATTGTATCATACACAGCTACTACAATGACTCAATTAAGTTTTAAATGTAAAATAATTAATCAAATGTTAAAGATTTGTGAACAATTATGGCAATTCTGACGTAAAAGTAAAAAAATCATATTTTTAAAATCATAAAAATACAATGTATTTCACAATCCGATAATCTCAGTAACAAAGATATTTTTTTGACAATAATTTAAAACATGTGTCCGCTTTGGCTAACCCGGCCTTATATGCTTCAAATGTTGTTACAAAAATTTACTGAAATAATAATAATAATAATAATAATAATAATGATAAAGCAAAAACAAAAAGTACAATATCTACAGCAATAGCAACGACAACATCATCATCATCATTATTATAAGCATCATCATCATCATTATAATCATAATTATAATAATCAACAACAACAAACGAAGAAGTTCAAACAAACTGACTTAAAAGTCTTCCAATGAAGAGTCAGGATATGCTCCAGGTCTATGTTATTGTTACTCATTTCTACAATATCACTTGTGAAAAGTATTAATACACTATTGTCATCGATGAAAAACACTTCGTTATCTATGGCATCAATATTTCGTTCATTAAAACAGGATTTTAAATTAACATTCAATTTCAAGGAAAGTAATGACTATTTCTGAATAGCAACAGGTCAAAAAGCGAGAAGCAATACTTTCAATATTATGGTACTATTCTTTGCATGGATTCATTGCGATCGAAAACATAAAATATACCTTTATTTTAATTAAAACAAATTAAAATCTGAAAAAAATAATTAGGATTACACGTGCGTACTTTTAAGTTGTCTTGTAAACCATTGCACATGAAAAAGCCTATTCTTTTATCCTTCATACATTTTTTCTTTTATCACATTGAACAAACTCTAATTTGATATGATGTATGATGACCATAGCAAAACCCTTCTTCCATAACATAAATATCACATAGACGTTAATGGTTGTTTTGCAAATAATTAAAATGTAGACATCGAGTTTATTTCGATACGAACGTTTGTTTTGATAGATATCCCTACATTTATATTGATAATGCCATTACGATTTGAGAAAAAGCGAGACCAATCAAGGCAGTAATGCCTCTTGATTTTATTTCTGTGAACTCTGTGTATAATGTAAATATATATAATTATATATATTTTCATAATATAGCTCAAAAAGTCTACTTTCAGTTTGAAATTTCGGATTAAATATGGCCAAGAAGTCATTTTCTGTACATGCTACTTGCAATAGTAAATGCAAATGGAAGCATTTTAAAAAATACTTGGAAAATAAACTGGAAAATCTGCGCCTAACAGACTGAGGGCTGCATAATATTGCAGGGCAGTTCAAAGTTTGCAAGAAGTCTGCAAGATTCCAGATGCAGAGTGTCACACTATACACATTCATAAACTTCTTTCCCTGGTTAACAAAGAAATTTTGAATATTGAACCAGATTTACAGGTCTCGCGAGGTGAAATATATTTCAATCTTACACTTATTAAGTAAACAAATTTTCTTTTTATTATATGCAAAAAGACGTTAAAAAGACATTTTAACCTAATACTACATGAAAAGCGACAAATAATAATACAACGTGACGTCATTAAGTTGGTTTCCAGTACAGTGCATGCTGGTATATCACTGAAACAACGTAACGGGCTTAAATTTAAAACAGTAAATTTAAAATTACAAAATTGGTATTTTCTCTGTTTCAAACAGTGAAATATCAGTTTTATATTTCACTGATATATTTATGTAAACAACCGAAAAGCGTTTATAAAGTATTTACATCTTTATAGGTTAGTGTCTTTGGATCAATTAAAGTTCAACACTTTCGAATACCGAATTAAACTTACTAAATATTCCCAAAAAAATGTACAGTTTAAACTCTGTCAAAGATACGTTGTATCCGGATACATCTCTATGCGTAAAATATTTTCTCAGATTTCTTTTTTACCCTTGCTGTTTATTACAAAAGCATGTTATGCTTTTGTCAGGTGCCATTCCGTGCTTTATTTCAGGCACAAAAGGAGGCAGGAGGAGAACAACAGACGAAAGGTTTTATGTCACAGTAATCAACTTCACTTACGGCGTTATTTGCATTTATTATGTCTACAGTACATGCGTAAATATCATAAAAATCTCTTGCACAATTTCATCCCTATTTTTTCCGTACAATTTTTTATTCAGGGCCGATACACGTGGCTTTCTAACAAGTTTGTCAAGGTGGTCAAAGCAGCAATCCAGGCGGGATCCACTCTTATCACCGCATCGAAATGGTGTTCAGCATGGAAAGGAATCATTCGAATTATTATTTTCAAAGCCTTTATGTAGCATATGTCAGAAAATGGATAAAGCTCGTTTACTTTTTCCAGAATTAAAATACCTGCCGGCGTTATCTCAGAACTGTATTTATAGTAATTAATAAAAGAACTTCTTTGATATCCATGGCATAGTTTGATTCAAATTCTTACAAACCTAAGGCGAGCCTTTCGAGAATACAAAGATATTCTTGGAACAGCTGCCGTATAAAACGTGATTAATCAATTGTGAAGTGATAAACTTGTTTTGTTGTAGATGGCAATGCAATTGTTACTATAATTCAAACATTCAGATCTCGACTAATAATGACCTGTTTAATAATTGAAACAAGCAATGACAATAAAATTAATCGAGATACACGATTTTATAGCAATATCACACTAATTCATTTCATTGTGCTTAGAGAAAGAAAATTTTGAAAACAGAACGAAAGTAATCCCTTTTATTTTTTATATTACAATTCAAGTTTATTTTTGTGTTTTTTCTGTCAATGCCATTTATGTTGTATTTTAATAATAAAAAATGATTTTTGATGAAAGACGATCATTGCATATTTATAGCGGTACATTCAATAATTTGACATCATTTCTGAAGTGGGAAATAGCACATTAGGTATGGACTAATTGATTTTCTTAACCATTCTAATACAATTACGGTTGTTTGAATTGCTTTTTGTTTGATTAGTTTTTTCATTTTTTGTAACAGTGGTCAGTGGAAAACCATTTCAAGTGTGTTTTACACATATAAGGTTGATGTAAATTTTCACAAAACACTAGATATGGCTTAATATGTAAAAAATTGCAAGTAACAACAATTTTGATGTTATTATACTATTCTTTGTATGGCTTGAATGTGATTGAAAACAAAATACTGTGAAATCATTAATATTCGTGGGGAATTAATTTTCGTGGATTTCCTGGTTCAGGTTTCTCACGAAATTAAGTCCCGACGAACAAATTGTGCCAAAAATAATGTTAAGTATGACAAATCAGTCAACAGCACCAAAAATGCTCGTAGTGGTGCGAAGTTGGTACATCGTCTGCAGAAAAACTGTGTGCTTACCTGCGATTTTCTTGTACATCATTCATTGAATCAAAGATAATCATAGGTAAGAATCGGATACTAAACCGACTCATGAGCTTTTGTTATGTATGTATGGACCAGTTTTTTATTTGTTTACTTGGTTCAATCCAAACTGAAAGTAGAAATTGTAGTGACGTAGGATCACGTGAATGTCAAACAGCACTATACTGCGGATGCTATTTGCATTTATACGGTCCTAGAATGAAATGAATATTTTTACCAATATGGAGTATATTACTAGTATAATATTATATTACTTTGGTACTTATTTCTTTGTATAGTAGATTGACTACTAGATTTCATCAGCTGTTTTCTCTGCGAATTCGTATTTTATGATAATCGGATGGTTATAATATTCAACTACTACGTAAATACTACGTAAATAAAAACAAATGTCATGTACGTAACAATTTGTTTACTTCTTATTTTTTAAATCATTGAAACACAATATCAATATCAACACATTTATTTACATAAACTGCACATTATTATTTGACATAAAAAATAAAAAAGCACATAATATCATTCTGACATGAAAAATAACAGTAATTGTTTCTATCGTCAATTTTCTAAAAGTTAAAGTACAATCCGTAACAAGATATAGAATCTAGTATTCCTTGATTTTGATTTAATCAAATTAAAATTCAAAAAGAAAAACATTACAATTTTTAATTAGGATTACATGTACGTACTTTAAACCATTGTACATGAAAAGGCCTATTCTTTTATCCTTCATACATGTTCATCTTACAAAACATTGAAAAAACTCTTTTTTTGATGACATTTGCTTACCAAGAGCCACGATTTAACAAAACAATAAAGAATGTTTAAAATCATTATAAATGTACACCGAATTGTATAATCTGCATCAATAATGACCATAGCAAAAATCTTCTTCTATAACATAAATATCGCACAGACGTTACCGGTTGTTTTGAAAATAACAAACTGAACCGTGTCTAAAATGTAGACATCGAGTTTATTCCGATACGAGCCATTGTATTGATAGAGATCCCTACATTTATCTTGATAATGCAAGAACGATTTGAGAAAAAGCGAGACCAATCAAGGCAGTAATGGTTCTTGATTCTTTCAACTTTCTATTTGATGATGACATATAACTAGGATCAAAGTCCTCAATGCATACAGTAAATGTTGTTAGGTTCCAAAATGGATGATCAGGATTCCCGTCCAGATCCGGAGAATTTTTGATAAACTCGTTCGACCCCAGTGTAATATTGTTTGATAAAATTCTTATTTCTGCGCCTTCTACACGGACATCGAACATAGGAATTCGCACCTGAAACACAAAAACACCAATTATTATACCTGTAATTACTATTATTGCAAATGGACGTATTGAACAAATTTAAAAACGTTGTATACAGGTAAGTGTTTATTGAACTATTAAAGTTCTGAATAATTTAAATGTGCGAGATAGCACAATACGTTGTAATGCATTTCAACATTTTGTTTTCAAATTTGTTGCCTCTCAGGGTATGACGCTTTTCAGATATAATGATAAAAATTCTGCGGTCTCTTGAATATCGTTATAAACGGAGTTTACGGTATTAAAGAAAATTATTTTTTCGAATAACTTCTTACAGCTGTCAAAGTAGTTTACAAAGAAGGTAAAGTTTAATACATTTTTAAAACACTTCTTTTTTCTTCTCTATGCACAATGCCCGGTCATATATTATAAAACTCGCCTGCAGTTATTTCTAGGAAACAGACGTTTGGCATAAAATACGAAATATGATAAACAAAAAATATGATCAACAAGGAAGGCGGCGTTTCAATAAACGCAACACTTCCTAATGATCTTCACATAGCTAAGCCTGGTGAATCAACAGGAAATGTTTGTTGCAAATAGCTACACTATATGAGAAATAACCTAAAATAATAACGTCACTTATATTAACGTTTGCATAAATGATTAATCGTGGATCAGTAATTCTATATTAATATATTTTAACTCCGTTAAGGTTATTTTACAAATGACGTTAACAGACGTTTACGATGTCTTTAAATTTAAAAATAAAAAAGTAAATTACTTCGGAAATGTTTCAGATAAATATGAATATGTATCAATAAGCAAATTTCAGAGGATTCTACTAATTTCAAGAGCAATATCAATGGAAATTTTTAGAAATCAAATACATGTTTGTCAATTAATAAAAGTAGTATAGTAATTTTACAAACGTGATAGTGATACTTACGTTGTTACAAAAGAAAGGTTTACTCAATTTGAACATGTGCTTATTCAAGTTTCCTGGAGACTGTGATTCATATTTTGAAGATTCGTATCCTGTTAATTTATCAAATGAAGCAGTTAACTCGTATGTTTTGTTTTCAATATTTAGCTTCCAACGACCAGTTATGCACGTTTTAATAACTGGAACAATTCGAGATGGATCCAACCCTTCAAGTCCAAATTTTGCAGACATGTCTAATACAGCAGAAGATACGAAAGTGTTTTTACTTCTAATTGCAGCATCATTTTCATTATTCAGTTGTAAGATATCCATGATATACATTTGCACCTTAAAACCACCTTTATTACAAGGAATGTCCAACAGATCTGAATGTTTCCTGAGTGGTAAATATGGTATCAATTTGGTAACTGGTATATTTCCTTCTACAGGTGTAAGCTTCAACTGTAAGCGAATATGTTCCAAAAACCATTTAAGTGCAAAATATTTGCATCCAGTTTGAGTTCTGGTCATTCCTTCAGGACAGTTTACTTTCAAACGAACCATCTGTAAAATTGACAGTACATATCTATTCAACCTTTTCTAAAGATATAGCAAAATGAATTGCATGATAACGTATACAGTGTATTCCTTACTATCTGGCATAATAAGTGTTTACGATCATAAATGTTTATGTAAGTCGCTCCATGTAACATTTGTCGAGCAATTATATTAAACATAAACAATGTTCAAACTTGGTATTTGATAATATTTATAATTGCAACACACCGTCTTTTTTAATATAAAATAAAAAATTTTGGGCTTCACAATAAGTAGATATGGTATGCTTTAAATCCTACGCACTATAACCACACATAATATGGATATATGGTGTCATTTAAAAAGCTGACATATTTTAAAAGAAAGTTTTAGCTTTACTTGACCAATAAAATGGAATGCTGATTCCCATACATAGTGTGTATGTTCTTTTATGTAAAATAAGAATTTTATAGATTTCAAACACTTTCAATAAGTATTTCTTTTCACAAAAAAGAGCATAGTATATCAAAAGTACAAAATATAGTATTATAGCAGAATCAAAACAATTACAATGGAATATTATTATTATTATTATTATATACGTATTATAACAAGTAAATAGGAATTGACACTACGTACGTTTGATGTTAGTACGTTTGGCCATAGCGTAGCAACTCCTGTCTTCCTTTCCAGTGACTTTGAATCATAAATCACCGTGGAATCCAGCAGTAACATCATCTCTCCTATTGCCTCTTTGATTACTTCCTTCGGGCAATAAATGCGACCTGCATAGGAACTCTGAGATGGCCTAGAGCAAAGCCAGCAGAAAACATTCTTGTGTGGTGGCTCAAAGATAACGAAAAATGGCGCGTTTAGATTAAGACACAGCTGACGCCAGTCTTGGTGAGAACATTCTGACCTATAGTGATCAAAACAACGCTTATGTGACCAGTTTTCGTCCTCTGGCGGAATATAGATTCGTCCCCATAATATGTTCTTGCTCTCGAAAATGTTCACCTTCTTTACGATGTAATTCCATCGTCTTATTTGTGCCGTACGTACTCCGTTGCAAATTGCACATTTCGTGTTAATATATATTAAATTAGTGTCTATTGAAGAGACGGGCTCAATCAAAGATTTGCCATTCCTGTCAATTTTCCCACAGTAATCAACTTCATTGACGTTATTATTTGCGGATATTGTGTTTATATTACACGCTTGAATCATGTAAAAACCTTTTTGCACGATTTCATTCTTGGATCCTCCGTCATATTTTATTTCCGTATCAATACATGCGGCTTTTTTCTTTTCAACAAGTTTGTATTTATCAAGATGGTCAAAGCAGCAATCTAGGCGGGATCCACACTTATCATCGCAGTGACATGGTGTGCAGCAAGGAAAAGAATCATTCGAAATGAATTTTTGCGAAGCTTTGGTGTAGCATATGTCCGAGGATGGACAAAGCTCGTTTACTATTTCCGGAATTGAAATATTTCCCACTGAAGAAGCGGTATTACATTGGAAAAATATTTTTAATGTTAATAATAGAAGGATTATTTTGATATCCATGTCTTCACTAAAAATTTTACAATCACTGAGACGAACTTTACTTGTACACATAGATATTCATGAACTGTTTTCAAACTGCGTATACGCTACCTTATAAAACGCTCATCATCAAATTATCAATTAATCAAATGATTATGCTATTAAGGACAGTGTAATTATCAGAGTTATCTCAATATAATATACAATTATCTAAATTCATCAATTGAAACAACCAATGACAATAAAACGCCTATAGATAAACTATACCTTAGAATTATTATACGTAATTGATTCTATTGTACTAAGATAAAGAGAAATTTTGAAAAGGGAAAGGAACAATGAGAGACCTGTTGCAAACACGTATATAACAATTAATGTTAATTTGAATCTTCTTATGTGACGCCTATCAATTTACCCAGCATTCATATGAAAATAATCATTTAGGAAAGATGCTCATTACGAATTCATTGTCGCACATTATAGCTTTCGTATATCATTTTATTCGAGCAACGGTAAATATCGCCTGATTGATTTCATTATACTTTCAGAAAGTAAGAAAATGTTTCAAACCAAAACAAAAAGCAAAACAAGCTGAATTACCATTTATTTATTTACAATTTGCTCTCTGAATAATTAGTTAATTTATTATATTAATCAATGGAACATAATCATTAAAAATCTATTTTGATACGTATAGACCCTTTCATTTAAGACCGTATTCAAATTGTCGCCTTGAATGACGTCATTGGGGGATACGGTGGGCAATGCCGATACAATTAAGTACAATAATAGAGGAATATAAAGATCTTAATCCTTTCTCTTGTAAAATTGGCAGATTGAAATTGCCAAAATTGTGCGTTATTGAATAAGATATTACATAATAGAATGGTGAAATGAATAAAAATGTTTACAATAATAAGGTTAACGATTTGTTTTAATAGTAGACCTTTTGGCTGGGTAACTGATCATGATTACCATTTCCGTTAGATTCTTAATAATGAAAGTTTTACCAGGCAGTTATATTGTACTAATTTGCTAATACCAGAGATATAGATAATGTATCTATGTCTCTGCTAACATACAATACCCAAAAGATATTTTGAGTTTCAAAAATGTAAGGATTCTGTAGTTTCGAAAAACGACTGCGTAATAAATTGCAAGATACTGGTTTATTAAAAATCATTTTGAGTTAAGCATTACTAAGACAGAGAAAAACAACAATATAAATCTATGTAATTTCAAAAAAAAAAAAAGTAATGGCATAAAAAGTAAAATTGCTTTTGAATGTACATGACTGTGTACTATTTGTGTCGGCAAAAAGATGCATATACTATTTGTGTCGGCAAAAAATGCACTCTCAAAATATCGTACATCACACCAATATATTTAAGCTGGTAAAGAAAATTCATACACTGCTTATCAAATATTTAAAAAAATCACAAAAAAAAACAAAAACAAGTTGTGAAACACTTTCACGGAAATTTGTTATTAAATGAAATATAATTTTACGTATTTTTGACTGTGCTCTGGATCGAGTATCAAATCAGTAAGGCATGGCCAATAAAGTCCCTAGGATGATCCATAAATTTTTTGACAACTAACAACGTAACGTGACGTAATCTGATGTAATGTTATAACTTTAAAAAATGCACCCTGGTGATTTTTGATATTACAGCCAAGTGAGGCTTGTACGTACAACATATGCACCCTGATAATTAATATGTTACGGCCCAGTGGCGTTTATTTATACACATCTATTTATCTATGAAATAAGTTACTGGGAAAAGGTCTTTATTTTTATAACCATAAGAATAGATTTTTAATATTAAAATTATCTTATTATCGTCTGTTGCAAATCTAAAATTAAAAAGTCAATGCCACATGGTTTTCGTTCTTTTCGGAATATTTATAAAATTATACCCTTCACTGGTTCTTTAAAATATTTTTATACGGCATAATGAAAAAGAAGCAGTAAGTATTGACAGAATGCATTCTGTTATTTTTCTATTAAAGCTTGAAAAACAATTATTAAAAGACATTGGCAATCTTATTTTCATGTTTGTCACAAATACAAAATGTACACCGGAATTTTCTAAATGAAAATAAAACAGAAAACTAGAAAATGGTCATTTAAATTTATAATAGGCAATGTCAGTGTGTATAGGTGTTTATAAAATATTAAAATTTGATATAGTAGCTAGCTTTTTATCCTGGAATTAGAAAATCTAGATCTTATAAATATATTCACTTTAAAATTTTCGCTGTTTCACTCCGCAGCGAGAGTTAATCTCAATCTTTGTTTTTTTTCTATTGTCTTGATATTGAATTTATGTATGCATGCGTAAATTTTTACATGTAATCATCATAATTGAACGATCGGTATTTACGCATTTAACTTTTCAATAAGCTAACATTCTATGCAGCCTGCATAGTTTTATCCCCCATTTACGTCAAATCCGGTAAGGGAAGTAACTCTTCCCTGACTGGTATCACTTAAATGAAAGGGTCTATAAGGCTACTGGAAATTTATTTAATACTTATCAGTTCATTATGCCACAGTAAAGCTTTTTGCATTTAGCTCATGATGCTTGTTGTCTTGCTCTAATTGCCAGAACGTTACCAGTTGACCAATTTCCTGAACTATCTTTTGAGTCTTTTGATTGTTCGGTTCAAGTATAGGCTATAATGAATTTCAAATAGTCATACTAAGTTAAAGAACTATGCAAAACAGCTGTAATTGTGTTATTAAAAGCGTGCGTCACCGCTTCTAGGGAAAGTATTGTAATAACTCCTGCCGTAAACAATCACAATTTAACCAAGACTTAGCATTCTCAATATAATTATATCGGTGGGTTTATCTATATCTGTGTACATGTCTTGATATTTTACCATTGTGATGCCTTTAAATATCATCATTTCATCTTCTGAATCACAAAAAGTAACAAAACAAAACAAAACATTGCATTGAGAGAGTTATGTGTTTTAATTTGAAATGAGGGTCGAAACTTATCGAATGTTTATTTATTTTTTATAAATAAAGAATAGATAAAGGACATGGTTAATATAAATACAATATTTATTTTCAAGTGGTATGAAATATGATAATTTGCATACAAAAGATGAAATAAATCCAGTATGAACTTGAATTGTCTGTTTATCATATACTTTTTACCTTAAGATCCGAAAGAAAGTAGTACCGCAAGATAGCAGTGAAAATACGGAAAAATAAGTTTCAATGTAGTGAAAAAAAATTTAAGTGAAAGAAAGTAAATTTAAAATATTCATTTTCAGCAATATTTCTTAATTCTTCATAAATAAGTATACAATCATAGATAAGTATACAATAAACAATTTTATAATTAATCTTACCTGTCAAACAAAAGCATTTCTATCACTGAAATATAAAATCAAATTGTATAACAGCGATAATTATTATATGACTACCCATTGTCCACTATTGCAATTGATGGTCAATAGAAGTGACACTAAAAAGTGTTTGAGCACCACACTGAACACCGTTTCCCGGTATTTACCTGACAAGGCGCTTGAATAATTAAATACTGAAATCACGACTTTTCACCTGACAAAATGCATTTTAATACGTTTGACTCATCTCCTTATACCGATTTATATACGATTTATGACTGAACAATGTAAGAAATGCCGACAAAGGCGATTTTTTTCTACTTTGTGATCATGTTTTCTGCCAAGCGTCTAAAGGTATTGCTCCAACACTGTATGTAAGTAGTGATTTAAATCCAAAAGACAGAGAGTTTTACTTTGGGATATTATTCCAAACAAACTACGTAATAACGTCATAAATTGTTGCGTTAAGTTGCAGATTTATTCAACGTCCTTTCTGATAAAATACAAGGATGAGGTAGCACACCAGACTAATTGAAGCCACAGCCTCGAATGACCAGGGATGATTTCTTGGATATAGTGACTATTCTGGACTAAAATGACTGTTTGTCTTTAAAGAGCATTAAAAAAAATTTCAGCATGAAATTTGTTATTGTGACATCTAATTTGATCACTGGCAAAGTCAGGAACCGCATGCTATTGATTATAGATGTCAAGATCGCCATTTGATGTTGACATTGCTTTTAAACAACATGCTCGGAAAAAACAAGTCATTTTACAGGCGGCGGTACAAACTATTAGCAGTAGCAAACAATCTACAAAGCAGAGCATCTGTATTTTGTGATATTTTGCATGTAAAGGTAGTTGCTAAAGTGGATACAGTGTTTCTGTAGCCTGTATGTTTGCAGGTTTTTTTTGGCAAGGGTCGAAGTATGCAGTTTTGGGTCTCGGTAGATTTTTGGTTTCAACCACTATTAGAGATGGGATAATTTCATTGTAGATTTGCAGTGTAATGTCATATATTTTCTCAACAAAAAGTGTTTTCCCTTTCAGGTTATGTAGTTTGCGATCAGAATTATCAGAGGTTTTGCTTGCAATGACGACAGGAACTTGAAATTTAGCGTGGAGTACTTCCTTAACTAAAAAGGCGTTTTTGCTTTCCTTTCCTCAGAACATTTATTCGCTATAAAATTGAATCGAATGCCAAACATTTCTGCGCGTTCAGTCCACTTATTTACGGTTTGTTTTCGTGGAAAACGAACACGATGCCGATGTCGTATTATATTCACTTCATTATCATATAATATTTGTTTGGTGGGAAAAAAAATGTAAAAAATACTGTTAACTTAACACTGGGTGGGCAAAAAAGAATCAATTGTGGTTATTAACTATACATTTGTATATTCGTTTTTGTTCAACTGCTAATTAATTCATGGGTCATTGAATGAACAAGAAGAAAATGACGAACAACAAATATTATTATAGTAAACTCCGCTTTTATCAATATTCAGGTGACTGCCGAATTATGTCGTTATATCCGGACATCGTTATATATCCGAGAAGCAACTAATGTTGGAACAAGAGTCAGTACCATTATAAGCATCGTAACAAGCGGTATATCATTACAAGCGGTAAATCGTTATAAGCGGTGTTTACTGTACATGATAATAATCTTACATAATAACCTCTATGACGACTTTAAGAATAAAATAATCACGTTCGAAAACATAACCATTATACATATTATAAATCCGAACAACTATTAATACAGCACCAATCCCATCTCTTCTTTGGATCTGTAGTGTAACACCATGGCTTTTTGTCCCAGCTTGGGCTGCGGCAGTAGTTCTTTGCCTTACTTACGTCGTTCTCTGGAAACTTCATGGGCATGTTCCCGTATTTGTGCGTATGGGGGTACTGTGAGTCCCAATTCTGGCACTCGTAACCACCCTGCGTGTTTGATACTGTTCCAGTATACAGCCAGGTTTTTTTTAGTTATAGCAATAATTGTATGGACCTAGCAAATGAAAGCATGTCAAAATGAATATTGAGACTGTTATGGAATATCCAAACAGTGCATTGCGGGTATTTAATCTCAAATAGTATGCAAAAGTGAAGTTAAAAGATGCTATCGAATTACTTAAAGCAAACAGCTGTGAAAATACCTTTTAAAAATATTTATCTTTCGATTCTGTTATGGCGGTCCATATTCAAAACAACCATTGTTCTTATTCGTTCAAAAATACGAATAATGAATAACATAAAATATAATAGTAAAAGTAACAAATTGGTCTTGTGGTGATTACACGACAACAGCAACAAAAGTAATTAACATGAAGTTTTAAATCACCATTGAAGAACAAAATAAAAACTAACATGGATCAATGTTGCAATATTGCCATCTTGTACTTCCAGTGGTATAGCACCATGGTGTGGCCGACTTTGAAGGGCTTCGGCAGAAGTTACCAGCTTCATCCAGTGATGCGTCTGGGTATTTGTCTGGGTCTATGTAACTGTTCCTATGTGGGTAACATGCATTCCATCTTTGGCAAGGCACATTGTCCTTTGTCACGTTTGTATGTCCTTCATATAGCCATGCATAGCCTCTTCTAAAACAGTTAAGTCCTGAACCTGATTCCAACAAGAATTAAAGATATACAAATTGGTCTTGACTCATGTATGACCTTGACCTTCGAGGCCAAATTATTTAATTTTTACTTATTGTTAATTGGTTGTAACTTTGTAATTAATCAATGGGCTATTTTTATCCTTGGACAAAACAAACTTTTGGACAAGAAATTATAAAAGGTTTTTGAAAGATATACTATGATCAATTTTTATGTAAGAAAATATTGATAATTGCTACACAGTCTCTTTGTAAATATAAAATATACATGTTCTGAATGCACAAATTATACACACTATATATATACTACACGTATATATTCCAAGACAACTTTTGCAATATTTGTTTACAATATAATCAGACGAATTTTCGATAACAACGTGTACATTTTATAACAGAAAGTAAACTAATTTGTATACAAATGATCTAAAACTAGTACAAATATAGTCTAAAAGTATTGAAAATGTTTGTTAAAAATCAACAATCTTACTATATAAATGTCAGAGGTAAAGAAGATACACATAGTCAGCTGTATAGCGGGTCAAGCCGATTAAAAACAAACGCTTAGTTTATACAAATAAGACTTTAGTCTCATCTTTCCAGGTTTTATATTCATCCCAAAATTTTTAAACTAGACAGATAAATGAAAAGTTATGATAAAACAATACTAATTTATCTACATGTATCTCTGTTTTATAAAAAAAAAATACTTCTCCTAGTTGTTACATTGTAACACGGCCAGCAATTCATTCAGAAGAAAAGAAGCATTCCTTACTCTAGAAAATTGTCATACGTGTTTTATAGTTAAAAAAACAAACATCTTGAGATATAATTTAATATGCATGACACCTGTTTGTGTTGTAGTTCATTGATTAACTGGTGATTGTGCACTACAGCAATCGTACATGATCAGGCTAATCAAACTAAGTTGTACCATTTTTACTTTTATTTTGTTGGACAATCTTTTAACTTGTTCGCTATTTTATTTTTTGTTTTAAATATTTCTTGCTGTTTTTTTAGACTGCGTGTATATGAACATTTTTAACGAGTTTCTGATTTTTTTAAAAAAATTGCATTGCTCTCTCTTGAGATGTCTCATTTCCAGATTGCTTTTCTTTTTTTTCAGGGCATTGTAAACAAAAGCATTGACCTTTTAACATAGTAATTTATATGACTTCATTCACGTTGTTTTTGAAAGGTTTCTTTGGATTAAACTTGACAGTTTTTTTCCTTTAACATGTTACAGATGCTAACACTCTCTGATAAAAAATAATAAATTGAATTATTCCATATAAAATTGTCATTACAGATTATGAACCCTAATAGATGGGTATTTTCCGACTTATATCGGGGAAAATCATTAACATTTCTAAAGAAGAAACAAATTATTCGTTTCTGAGGCCTAATACACATTTAAATGGATTATGTCCATTAGAATAAAGACAAACATGCAATAGCCAACCAAGTAAATCTTGATTATTCTCCAATGCTTTTGTACTAAAACATTACGACTATTATGTATTTTGAAGACATGCTTTTGAATGATTATTATTTATGTGTGCGAGCGAAAGCTTCAGCGAATGTCATTAAACTAAATTCCGTTCTAACGCTACGTGTTTGGATCTGACGACCACCAATAGGTTGTCACCTTCCCCTGACCTTTCAAACAGCCAATTCCCAGCGAGCTTTCACATTTATTCCAGAGGGCCCAGATAAGGGGTAACCCTAATTATTTTCCCCTTCATTGGCATGATAGGGGTCGAGAAGCATTCTCCTATCAGCCTTACTATGATACATTTGATTCAGACAAAATAATATTAAAGAAGTTATGTTATTTTTCATGTTTTCAAATAATTATTTTAAGCTTAAACTGCGTTTATACAAAATGTTTATAAATAGTTTTTAAAGCAAATGCTCAATAAAATAGCCACATAGTTACACATGAAATAAAGTATATTGGTGTTATACTTCCCAGCAAAAATGAATTGATTGCGAAATCAAATTAAAGGCAAAATTAGGGACCGTACCGATAATGTGATAAATGTAAGACTTAGCAACGAAAAATGGCAAGGTTGAAAAGCGAATTAACCATTTATAAATCTATTGTAGAATTATTATTGAGTTGCGTCTCTTATATCAAAAATAATATTCATACAAATATTTTAAAAGTTCTGTCACTGTATCGTCTTTATATTTACATTTGTATTCAAATTGGTATTTAATATCAATGAACAATTTTAATCTTAATAAAATAGGTATTGATTGATGGGAATAATTGTGCTTACAATTGCTACAATATTTCCAAATTGCCCATTTGGTTTCAAATATTGATCAATTTATCATTAATTGCTTATTCATAGACAAATGGAACAGAAATGCAGTAGATCAGAAATAAGAAAAATCAATGTCTAAGATTTTTCTCTCAGAGATTTACATATACAACATTTACCTTCAGATAAATTCAAAAGAAACAGCTTAATATGTTCTGTATAAATAACATTTGTGTAATAGTTTCTACTGATATTGCACTGCGTGTTGCAGTTGTAAAAAGTTGTCCCGTACTTCACTTCAGTGTTGTTATATTTTCCTGGTCCTTTGGTATCATTGGTACTAGCTCTATTAAGCTAATCATCGTGTTTTCGTCCTGCGACCCCGCTTTTTTATTTCTTCAATCTCGCTCCGCGCCGTCGCGGGGCGAAACTCCGCCCGCACCCTCGCTAGAGTATTTTCGCTCCGCGCCCCCGCCATTTTAACTTTGTAATTTTCGACTTTTCGCTTGGCGGGGTCGCGGGGCGAAAACCCGAATGGCACAAATCAGCCACCATAGCAATCAGATCTGCATGCAAGAAATAACTTAAGGAGATCTGAAACTGAAGCTTTAGTAGACTTTAAAGTTTTAAACAGGGGACATAACTCATTATATTTCTCAATAAAATAACGCAATAGTATTAAATGACGTTGGCATTTAAATATTTTCATTTGTTCTAATTGTTTTAAAACATTTTAAATATTCAAACTGAATATCCGTTCTGAAAAATAATCAATCTTAAAGATATATACGCACATCAAAGGCTCGACATTCGTTGCCGATCTATAAAGAAGAATCTTTTCACAATTTGTCCTAATTTGAACATATAATTTAAGCAATTAATTCAACAATGTCGACGAAACTTATTGTCTTTCTCTAGAACATAACATAACACAAAATTATTGAATGATGTGCTATATAATTATGTTCATTTTGTTCAAATTGTTACGAAACAAATAAAATATATTAAACCGAATACAGTTCTGTTAAGCGTTCAATCTTAAAGATATATATGTGCATCAACGGTTCGACAGTCATTTGCTGATTTATGAAAAGAAATACATTCACATTTCATTAAAAGGACCCCATTGAGGTTTTATGTCATAAATTCTTAAAATAGTTTTAAAACAATTTAACAATGTATCCTTATTTGAACATATAATTTTAGCAAGTAATTTACAATGTCTCTATAATGCCGACAATTCAGTTACAGCGGACATTTTTCTCATCATTTTTATTAATTCTTTATGTTCCACAATTAAATAAGGGACCAACCAGGTGTTGTTAAGAAGCAATTAGCTATAAATTAGCCATCTCTAACATGTCTAACTCAATCTATTTCTAAGAAATGTGACATTTATTTATTGAACATAATTCTTTTATGAACTACATTTGTTCCGAATTTAGATCAATTCAATTCTGGTATTTTAACAATACTTAATTTGTATTGTCAATTTGACATTTTGCAATTGAAAAAAAACTTTTACCATCTGATGAATGATATATTGCATATTTTGTTATGTGAAGTTATTTAAAATTCATTCATTCGTTCGTACGTCCTTCCGTCCGTCCGTTCGTTCGTTTATTCATTATGTCCCTTTAATTTGTTTTGCATATATTTTACAATCAAAAACATGTAAATAAAGAAAAAATACCTGCAATTGTTTTATGGTGTTCCGATGATTAAATTGTATCTAGTATTTTAATTTTGTTTTGTCGTTCTATTTATTTTCATAACCAAAATCAAGATTCTAAAGAATAATTAAAAAAAATTATCAGCGAAATATTTACTTCCTCAAGCCCTGGTCCTTTAACTGCACTGTTGTACAGCGTCCACCGGAAATATCACCTCAAACCGCAAAAAAAAACAAAAAAAAAAACAAAGTAGAAAGATTAACACCCAAAGTAATGTTATAAGTTATTTCTCCATTATAACTTCATCGATATTTCCAAACTTAACAATTTTCAGATGTTAAATGTGTCTGGTGTTAGAGCAGTATTTGCTTTTGTCTGCTAATTAATTACTTTTTGTTAACTTGGCGATAATTAGCGTATTTGTTGACATGCGCGAACAATGTTGATATTTACCACTAAATCAATCACAAAACACATTTGCTGTATCAAAATTCGTCTTTTATACAAAACTAGTATATTTTCTATCATAACAGTATTAAATTTCTTCTGTGTCTGTCGTTGGGTATCTTACACACCTGCTAGTGCGACTAAATAAAGTTTGAAATGTAATATTATTGATAAAATGCTAATAATTTGTGAACGAAACTGGCATTTCTGACGTAAAAGACACAATCTAATTTTTTAAAGAACAGGAATACAATGTATTTCGCAAGGACTCTCTTCTTCCTATATCATTGCAAAATGAGAACTGTAATCAACAACTGGTTTGACAGGAATTCAAAAACCTGACTCGCTCTGGCTTTTACGGGCACGTATATGCTACACATTTGTATTTAAAAGGAGAATTCAAATAATAAAATAATATGAAACAACTTTCATTATCATCGTCGTCTTCCTCATCATCATCGTCCTCATCATCATCAGTATCATCATCATCATCTTCATCATCATCAGCAACAACAACAACAACAACAATATCATCATCATAATCATCATCATAATAATAAAACAACAACAAAATGTAAAACATCTACAGCAATAGCAACAACAATATCATCATCATTAACAACAGACACAACAACAAAAACAACATCAGCAGCAACAACAACAACAGAAGACCACACAGTCTTCTGTTTTGAATTGTGTGCGTGCTATTTTACCTCGATGTTAACTTTTTTTCTTTTTGAATTAATCTTGATACGCAGCTTTAATCATGTGACTTATTTATCTGCGAATTATTTTAACAAATATAAACCTATAAATCATGCATATTTTTGTCTTGTTTTGTTTTGCCGTCATGTTAAGATTAATGAATTCAGTGGCGGCAATTTGTTGTTAATGTTGCTGCAATATTACAAAAAAGGAATCACATTTCACCATAGTTAAACAAATGATAAATTTGCAGCCTTTGAAAACTAATACATTGCATGTGTAATTCCAAGGAAATAAATCATAAAAAGACAAAAAGGTGATGATTTATTACATTGTTACTTTAATTAGTTATTGGTAAATACCTTGCATCAGTTTTTCGCCTTTATGCTCTTTCCAAACACACATGATAAAATGTAATTTGCGGAGATTACTTTGGATTCTGACCCTAATATGTTCTCTTGCATAATCAGTTTAATGCAAAAAAAAAAAAAAAAAAAAAAAAAACAAAAAAAACGCGAATAAATAGCTTGTTGAGAAACTTTTTCTCCAACTTTGATCTATTAAATTTACAAAGAATACATATGATAAAAATGACCGTTTCGGTGATTCGTTTAGATTCTGACCTTTAGATACACTTATTTAAATCAGTTCCTTCTAATACTTTTTGACAACTTGACAGCCGGAACTTTCAGCAAAATTAATGCGTCTTGTGAATATTCTGGTCATTGCCATTACTTTAAAGCAAGTACTTATAAACTGTGTTGACAGAAAATCTTATGTATAATGATATTAATCTGAAGTGACGTTATACTTATCCAAGTTTCTGTAGTGAGTGAACATTT